CAATTTATAAACATTGGCATTGGCTACAATGAAATTTGGAGAATCAGAGAAAAATCTCAAAGCATTTGGTCTTTTATTGGGGGATAGATAAGCTGGAGCTGTTTTCTTCCCTCCCTTTTATTGTGTATTTATTTTATAAAATAATAATTTCCTGGAACAAGTATTTGGCAGACTATGGGTCAAAGGTCATGTTGTCCTATGCTAAGAGGATTCTCTAAGGGTCTGAAGGTACAAAGAAACCTTGAGTCTTTTGCACATTTCCACTCTCTAAGATCAGTATTTTCCTTCTTTTGGTTCACAGATGTAACCAAGAGACTTTCTTTTTGTTTCAGTGCGTCCTATGGAGTCACTAAGGAGAGAAGTTCTGAGGGGAAAGGAAGATGGGTCTGGAAAAGAACCCCCGATACTCGTGAGAATAACAGGAGGGTTCGCAGATTCTAAGGCTGAGATCTATGCCCCTGGGCCATCAGTTTGAGAACAACTGAGCCTGTAAGGAGTCACCTGTGGCACTGGATCACAGTTGGGGAGAGATTCTGAGATCTCCCATTATCTACGTTTACTGTGGAGAAAGAATGTAATAAATATTTTGAAACTCTCAGAAAAGTTCCATTTTACAAGGAAATGTTTGTAAAATTTCTGGCTTCTTCCACTGTTTTATTCAATCCAAATCACAATCCGATGTCCTCCTCTCAGGTGAAACCTCAGGAGAGTGACAGGCCATCTTTTGATGCTAAAGCAACTCACAGAGTCATTCCTCCAGGTAAAGAAAGGGTCGTGATCACTCTACAGCTAAATAATGTCTGAATCCAAAACTATTGCTTCCTTCTCTCTATTCAGAATGGCCCCATAGCAGCATCATTTAAACATTTAAAATTTTCTGTCCGTGTTATACTGTTTTCTTATATGACTGCTGTAATCCTTGTAGTATTACAATAGAATATGGTGCTACGGGGATAGGTGCATGGAGGAGGAATTGCTATAGATTTTCTTTATCTCTTCAAATTGCGATGGTTCCTATGTTATTCAGCTTTCCATCACTCTGTCATATGCATGGCACTTAGAAAAAGATTATTTTAGTTCACAGTTTTGGAGGATCCAGTGCATACCTGATTGGCCCTGTTTCTTTTGGCCTATGTCAAGCCTGCACACCATGGGACACAGAGCAAGAACCCTTTCCTCATGGCCAGGGAGTAAGAGAGAGAGAGAAAAGGAAGGGATGTGGTACATCCATCCACTTCAAGGGCAAGACCCCAATTATTTAAAAAACACTCGCTAGGCCCCAACTACCTCCCAATAGTTCCAAGCTGGGGACCAAGACTTTGGGGCATACTTACACAAACCATATCACCCTCCAAAATCTTATTTCTTTATTGTCCAGTGAAACGAAGTTTTATCTCTCCTCTCTCAGCACAGGTGTGCTTCTCATGTAATTTCCAACATAAAATTCATAGTCATGTTTACATATCATATATAATTCTGCATCTGCTCTTCCTCTCTGTACATTCTTTTAACTGTATGAAATAACTGTATTGTGATGGATTAGTAGCTCATCCAAGGGGAAATCTCTAGCAGATGTATTAGAGTTATAATAGGGACAGGAGGAGGGAGAGAGAAAGAGAGAGACAGAGATAGAAAGTGCCAGAGAGAGAGAGAGAGAGAGAGAGAGAGAGAGAGAGAGAGAAACAGAGACAAACAAAGAGAGACAGGCAGCAACAAGAGAGAGATCCCATAAAATAGTTTTGTGGGGTGAAATAACTTTTTGTAGTAGAAATATAAAGCTTCTGGTCCTATCAGTTCTATGAGAAGTTTCTACATGAAATAGGAAGGTAAAAGAGTTTGGAAAAGTCTCTTCATTGATGATAATAATAACTTGTGATAAGGAATCACAAAATCCAAATCCACTCTACGATGTATAAAGTGGACATGGACTAGTCTGTTGTGTTGTTGTCTGTTTGTTTGGGGTTGTATCATCTTCTAAGTTCATAGGTCATCTTTTTCTGTTCATGTGCCCAAGTTTTCTGACTATAGGAAGAATGGCTTGTGTTTCTCTTTTCATGAGGACACTGAAATCCCAAATCCCCCTGTCCGGTACTGTCCAAGAAGTGTTCTGAGAAGCATACTGCAGGAAGTCCCATTGGCATTCACACTTTTGTAGTCTTACAAGGAAATATCACCTTAGTACCATAAAAAGGTATTGTAATTTGATTACAACTGCAAAAATTCTGTTTCCAAATGAGGTCACAATAACAGGTACCAGAGGATAGGTCTTTTGGTGGGAAGAGGCAGAGTTAGTAATATTACAATGTTCTTTTTCAGTTTTGAAAATGTGCAGTGGTGATGTAAGGTGATGACATCAGAAAAAGTTGAAAATGGTTAAGCAGTAAATGAAAACTCTCTATTGTTTTTGCAACTTATTTGCAAATCCTAAAGTATTCCAATATAAAAAAATTATTAAAGAAAGAAATGAAAATGTACTTTTGTGAAAGCGTGCCTGTAAGAATTTAAAAGAACTATGCTTAAAGCAGGCAAATCAGCAAGCTTCCCTACATCTGTAATGCAAACGTACTCTGTGTAATTCTGATATTACCTCAAGTCACCAAAAGCTATATAATAAAGGTTTTAAAATTATATAATTTCTCAATAGAAATCTTGGCATGAAGCCTTTATCTTCCCGTGTGATCACAATATGTCACATTATGGTAGTAGGTGAGAAGGTTCCTTTTTCCTTCCCATTATGTGGCCTCATGGTACGTGATGCAGGAGAAATTCAGCATAAATATCATGATGAGGAAGAAGCAAGGAATTATAAGTTCAAATATATGCAAATTTAGTTCTACAACTTTAACTCTTGAGGAATGTTGAAAGAAAATAGCATAAATTCAAATAAGGTTGTAGATAACAGAAATATTTGTAGGTTATTTTGATCTGCCTGTAAGGTGACAGTAGGACCGCTCTCAACAACAACAACGAAACAGGTGTGTATAGCATGTGGATAGCAGGAGGATAAGGCATTTGTTTCCAGTCTGAGAGACCAAGGGTGTTGCGGAGGAGCACATTAAGCAACAAAGGTGACCCCTGGCCAGGCAGGAAAGTTCCTATTTATAAACCAAGTTGGCGAAGTGAAAAAGCGAGTAGCAGCACCACCGGGTGATACAGGCATTCAGTTATACAGGACATGACGATGTCTGTATCTCCGACTCACTCAACCCCCAGTAGCTGCATTTGCCTGGACTGACAAAGTAGGCTTTGGAAATGAGTGGAAGTCTGTGGTGAATGTGCTAAAGCGGCAACTTTGTGTCCTAAGCCACTCAGTGTGAGCTCACTGAGGCTGCTGCATGTTACAACGATCACCCAGTGTTTCCAGATTTTCTGATTTTCAAGAGAACCAGAAATGTAGATACCAGTAACAGTTCGGTTAACACTTCAAAGGAAAAAAAAAACAAAAACGTTTAGACTGATTAAAGCAAACTAGCTAAGAGGCAATTAACAAAAATATTAGAAATGGTATAAAACAATGCTAAACAGAGTTTTGCACACTCTTCTTGAGAAGGTCAATGAGCCCTGCCACCATGGAATAATTTACAGAGGTTCCTCAGTAAACTAGAAATAAAATTACCATAGATTCCACAGTGTCACTTCTAAGTACATTTTCAAAGAAACTAAAATCAGTACGTCCAAGAGGAAATCTACACACCCTTGTTCACAGCACCACTACTCACAATACCTGTGATATGAAATCAGGCATGGTGTTTTCTTCAAATAAACATGATGTGTATGAAAATGCAGTTTAACACTCTTCAGTCTTAAAAAAAAAAAGAAACCTTGTCATTTGTGACAGCGTTTAAATGAAATAAGCCTGGCACAGAAAGACACAATACACGATCTTACTTACACGTGGAATGAAAAATTGGTGAACTCATAGACTACAGCAGAATTGAGGTAAGTAGGAATTAGAGGGGATGTCAAGGAAATATTAGACAGACATACAAAATATCAATCACATAAGGAATAAGTTCAAGATATCTATTATACAATATGGTGACTCTAGGTAATAATAACAACTATTTTATTCTTGAAAATTACTAAAAGAAGTTGTTTTAAGCGTTCTTTTTTTTTTTTTTTGGTACCAGGGATTGAACTTGGGACCTTGCGCTTGCGAAGCAGGTAGCAGAACCACTGAGATAAATCCCTGGCCCCTGTCTTAAGGGTTCTCGATAACCAAAACATGATAACAATGGAAACCTTTTTTACTAATTAGCTTTTTCAATTCTTCAATGTATATATATATTTCAAAATATTGTATTTTACATGATAGATGTTCAGATTTACTTGCCACTTTAATAATGAATTAATTTTAAGAATCCAATAGAACACAGATATTGAACAAAAAGCTTAATTAATCTTATCTCCTATGTACATTAATATTTATCACAGATAAGTTAATTTTAGTAATGTACGTACTTACTCCATACTAGTTATATAAAAACATAATATATGCACCACTTCAGCTTCAGTGATATTTTTCTAAGGAATAAGTAACTAAAATACTGTGACTTTTCCTTTACTGTATCAAGTGATGAAGCATTTCATTTCATTGAACATAATTATGTTACACAAAACAGTTAAAGAACAAGTGAGAATCTCTCTTGTAGGTGAGACTCCTCATCATCATTGGCTTTCCCATTCTTAAAAATGTGAAAATAGGGCTGGGGATTTAGCTCAGTGCTTCCGCAGCCTGCCTTGAAAGCACAAAGACCTGAGTTTGATCCCTGGTACAAGAAAAAAAAAGTGAAAATAAAAAGTTATTCTTTGCTAGTAGAAAGTTGTTATTCAAAGCAAACGAGAAAACAGCCTATGGTATATACAAGTAAAACATCAAATGAAAAAACATCATATTTTACTTAAGAAACCCTAAAATATTCAGAAAATGAATATTTCAAAAAGTTAAAAAATAGAAAGTACAAACAGGTTAGTAATAAACCTTTTTATTTAATCCCCTTGAAAGCTTTGCATGCACTACTAAGAAATCACATTCACAGATTTAATTTTGAAAGTTCACCAGCAGTCTTTACAACATCAGAACACAAAGGGCTTTATAGAAATACTATTGCAGAGATCAGTGGAAGAGATGGACTATGTTCCATTCAGTGAGTCTTCACCAAGGTATATGAAAGGCTGAACAAAAGCCATAAGGACAAGAATGTTATTTTTCTCTTTGTATACATTATAAATAGATGAATACATTATATTGTAATACACACAAACTCACTTATATAAAAAGTGCACTATCCATTGTAAGCAGAAAAACAGAAATACAATATTTTTTATAATTTAGTGTACATAACAATCACTTTTGTATTATGGAACCACAATAGGATTAATAAAAGTCATTTTTATGTTATTCTGAAGCAGTTGTGAAGTACTAATTTTTCTTTAAGGAAAAAGGAGCTTAATTTTGTCACATCAGGAAGTATTCGATGTTTGACATTGTAAGTCAAAAGTTATTCACAGTACTCATTTTATAATGCTGTTGGAATTATATATGTAGATATACATACACATGCATATAGTGTCTAGTGTAATTTGTAGACAAATATTTTATTTATTAAGTGCAGTCAATAATATAATAATAAAAGTGGAATCATATTACATGTTTATGGAGAACTTTTTCCTTTTTAGTTGGCTAAATCATAATTTTTCAAACACTATTCCATTAACTTGAATTCACTTTGTTTCTAGTATTTTTGCCATTACTACTTAACAGCATTGCAAAAATAAAACCTTATGTGTATTTCCTCCTTTATTATATGGAAAAAATTATCAGGGTTATAATTGCTGTGTCAAAGGATCTGTTAGGCTTTTATTATTATTGTTGTTGTTATCATCATCATCATCATCATTATTTTGTTACAAGATACTAGATCATTTCTCCAAAATCTAATACACCTCTTCCAGTAGCAGTGCCTGAAATAAACTTTTTCTCTGTATTCCTCAACAACAAAGGTTTTCCAGCCTTTTTCTTTTGTCATACTTTCATCATAGGTATATTCTATATGTGCTTTGAATTGAAAGTAAATTTACTATTCTCATTTCTGCAGTGGGCACATCCTGTGATATGCCATTTCTCTGGAATACCTTCTTTCCATTATTTGTAATACGTATTACACATCTTATTAAAATCTTCCCCAAGCTCTCCAGGCTAATTTTCTGTATTTCACTATCTTCTAAAATCTTTATCATAGCATGCACTATACAACTAAAATATATATTATATGCTTTATATTTTCCTAACATGATCCCTGTAATAACTTTAAAATATTTATTCAATTGCTACCCAGTTTTTCCTGAGGTCCTGGATGTATCATGGTTATTGGTTACCAGAAATATATAATTTATAAAAGGATGAGTCACGTTTGCCAAAAGCTGTTACATATTCTGACTATGGGTTTGCAATTATAAAGAAGCACGCATGTGCACAGGAAAACAAACATGAAAATGCATTCTTTCTTTGTAATGCAAGAGGGGCTCCAAAGGAATGCACCTGTTTTGAACAATAACGAATGCATTCCCCTCACTTACCTCACTGGGTTATAAATTCCCATTCTCATCACTGTGCTTCAGAATGGCTTCCTCATCTATTCCAAAAATAGAAAGATATTTAGACACTGAAATTACTCCAACAACATTAAAGCCATGTGACTCACTGGAGTTTTCTAGGAGGAAGAAAATAATTACTGGTAAATATAGCACACCTCCCCTCAAGTGCCTGAGAAGAACTCTGAGCATCTAAAAAGATGGACTCCAACAAGGAAGGCAAGCAGGTGCAACGTAAGGTAAGGAAAGTCTTCCCTAGCCCTTAAATATGTTTCCCCCATGCATGCATCACAAACTCATCACAGGTTTTGGATCGTGTCCCACTGTTCTTTAAAGTAGAATATTAGGTCTTGGTTGCATGCACCAGTCTGAGCCCCTCTAGCTATCTGTTCTTGAAGAATCCACTGACCCAAAGAAGTTGGCAGGTCCAGATCATCTGCCTTCAGGTTTGAATTCATCTCTTTGTATCGGATGTGGTGGACAAAACGTTCCCCTCTTGAGAAAACTGACAATAGAGGTCCTGGGTTATGGATCAGCAGACCATGCAGTATAGCTGTCCCTCCCTTCTGTGTCCCTTTCTCAGCAGTGCAAAGGTACCTAATCTTTAGCCACCCTGTCGTTTCCCTGCTTTCCCCCTAGAATGCTAAACAGTGAATGAAATAGGCACAAGGCTTAATCACCCCTGGTGTCACCAAGTAACAATCACCCTTCCCCACATGGAAGCAACCAGGCCTTCATAATGCACTGGAGGGTTTTCTGAATCTTTCCAAAAATATTTACTTTCCCTTCCAACTCGCTATAAAGTCCTTTTCACCTTTCATCTCAACTGTTTCAAAATGCCATTCCTGTCAATACTGCCTTTCGTATATCCTGCTTTCAAATGATCTCCCTAAATATAAGCTAGGCTGGCCATTTTACTTCTCTACTTGATTCTTTAATGACTATGAATCATCTTCCCCCTGAATAATAAGTGCTTCATAGCCTGTTCCTCCCTCTGTCTTTATGCTTAACTTCTACTCAGGAGAACAAACATGCCTCCTTTACCCTCCTCCACACTTTCACACGTCTGTCCTGCTCTCTCCCTACAATGCAACTTGCTCACTTCTTTGAACTTCTACCCTAGCACCTACTTCCTGTTCATTTGATACTTGAAGCTATTTCTGATGTTGTTTTGTTGTTGTTATTTGTTTTTCTTCCAAGAAGCCCCTTCCTTATCTTGTGGACATATTAGAAAGATCACAATTTAGCTCCGACCTGTAAGCCTCTGTATCTGTCTGTTTTTCAAAATCCACGTGATGAGTACGATGAGAAGGGCCAACAGAACGATTCCGAAGATCACCAAAACAATGAGAGTCTTGTGCCCTAAGAAAAAGGAGGCATCAAGAGAGATGATGATATCTGAGCAGAATGATCTGGATCCTGCTTACTAAATATCTCAGGCACAGGATCCCAAAAGCAAATCCAAGTCCTCAGGACTCCCTTGGACCCAAACTCTCTGAACAAGAACGAGGTGGCTACCTGGTCCCGTACTCGTGAGCCCTATGCTGTACCTGATGGCCGTGGTGATTCTGATGCTCCTGTAAGAGAGAAGAGAAAGAGATGGAACCCAGGAGTAACAGAGTAAACATTTCTCATCCCTTTGGCTAGAAGCAGAAGACTGCCTCCCCACCGCCCCCCTGTGCCCTCGAGCCCTGTCTTTACAGGACACACTGCAATGCCCACCCTCTTTGGTGGCCAGTTGGTCTAAGCTCCCGGGTTCTTGGCACTGACCTGGGAGGCACCGCACTGCGGCGTCTTCCTTGTGCCCGCAGTCGCTGTGCCCCCATCGTCCTGCGGGACAGTCCCAAAGGGAAGACTCATTTCCTCTGCACTTGACCTGGCTGAGCCACACGGGTCCAGTCCCCTGACCAAAAGCGGCCTCTTTCAGTGCTGTCACAGCCAGGCCGCAGCCCAGCTGCCTGCAGACCACCTGCGCGTCTTCCAGGTCCCAGGAGTCGTCGCACACAGACCCCCAGGAGCCGCCGTGCCAGATCTCCACGCGGCCGGAGCACTGGGCTGGTTTGTCCTGATCTTTAAGCCTTATCTTTTCTGAAAAATCAGAGACACCTGGATTATTTCTGAGAAGATTAAGGCTTCTGAAAGACTACAGGCGAAAAGAGAGATTTAAAACTCTTTAAAAAAATCTGTTTAAAACTATTTCATGTGCAAAAGTTTTAAGAGCTTGTGTAGTTTACAAAATTTGCTTTCAGTGAGAGTGTACGTCCTTTTAGCAAAATGGGTATATTTCCTATGAATCATACATAAGAATCATAGTGAGACTCAGAAAATGTCAAAAGCAGAAAATTAACATTGTAACTGTGAAGTGGCTGTTTTCCCAAATAGGTAACCTACCAACTGGGGAAAGTTTTTTTGCCAGCTACTCCTCCAAGGACTAACATTCAGAGTACATAAAGAAAGAAGAAAAGCCTAGATAACCAAACTAAAAGACCCAATAACAATGGGCATCAAAATGGACAGACAATTCTTAGATGAAGAAATGCAATCAGTCAATAAATATATGAAGAAAGGTTCAATGTCAGTGGGCATTTGGGAGATGCAAATTAAAACAAAATTCAGATTCCACCTCACTTCATCAAGAAATCAACCAATCACAAATGCTGGCAAAGCTGTGGGGAGAAAGGAGCCCTTCACTGTTGGTGGGAGTGTAAACTGAGACAATCACTATGGAAATCAGTTCAGAGATGTCTTCAAAATCTAAAAATAGAAATTTCATTGGGCCCAGCTATTCCTCTTCTAGGTATCTTCCCAAAAGAGTGAAAAACATCATACAACAGTGATGTATGTATACCTGTGTTTATAGCAGCATAATTCATAATAGGTAAATCTTGTAAGCAGCCTATATTCTCGTCAATGGATAAATGGATAAAGGAAATGTGGTGCTTATTATACTCTGCCACAAAGAAGGATAAATTTGAGGTGTCTAGAAAAATGGACACACCTAGAGACTATAATGTTAAGTGAAATAAATCAGACACACAAGCTTAAACTGCATGATTGTACTTATACTAAAAAGTAAATAAATATGAAATAGACGATAGGAAAATGGAGAGAGGAAGAAAAGGTTATTGCATTCTAAATATATTTCTGTTGTCAATTTCTAGTTTCACACCAGTAAGGTGTGAGAGCTTCCTTGGCAGAATTTCCATTCCTTTGGATATGTTAAGGTCTTTATTATTGCTATGAGAACGGTCTCTTTGGGTGAATATTTCTCATGATTTTGAGAGGACTGTGAGGTCTCCAGGTTTTGCACACAGTGTGGTGCTCAACTTGAGGCAAGATGTTGCTGATTTTGACTCCCGTTGCAAGTCTTTGGCACCTTATCAATTTCTGAGGGAGCTGTTTAGAAATTTTTGGTGATATTTGTGGATCTGTGATTTTACCTTCAGTTTCATGGTTTTGCCTCATGTGGCTGGGTGCTTTGTTTAGTAAAATATGTCTTAACAACTGTGGGCTCTTGTTGGAGAACTGCCTTTTGTATCATTATATAATCACTGCAGTCCTAGTTTATATTGAGGTACGAGTGGAATAGTGTCAAATTAACACACTTCCAGGACGATTTATTGAGTCAATGGTAAACTCATGTGTCTATCTGCATAACTTTCTACCTGATGTGTTTTTACATTATCTTATATTTGTTGTGTTTTTTAAAATATCTGTATACTTTTAAATATATA